TCATAAAAGGCATTGTATTTTTATCTTTCTTACCTCTCTTGGATGACTTGCTCTGGGAAAAGCCATTTTCCCATATTGTGATGACACTGAAGCAGCCCTATAGAGAGTGGTCCATATGGTGAGAAACTGAGCCCTCCCAAGAGTCAGCAAGGAACTGAGGCCTCCTGCCAACAGCCCTGTGATAGGCCAGCTTGGAAGATGATCCTCCAATCCTATTCAAGCCATGAGATGACTGCCTCCTGACCAGCAACCTGACTGCATCCTCATGAGAGATCCTGAGCTAGGACCACCCAGTTATGCCATTTCCGAATTCCTGAGCCATGGCAAATGTGAGATAAGTGTTGTTTTAAGCTGTTCAGTTTTGGTTTTAATTTGTTAGAAGTTATAGATACCTAATGCACCTGTGTCCCAGTTATCTATTGCCGCATTAAATATTATCTAAACCTCAGCAAGTTAAAACAGCCATTTAATTTTTCCTGCACTTTTGTAGATCAGGAACTTAGGAAGGGCTTAGCTTGGGATCTCTCCTGTGTTTCAGTCAGAAGTTGGCTGGGGCTGGAGTCATCTCAAGGCTTGACTAGGCTAGATATCTCAAGTGACTCAGCAACTTGGCCAGCAATTGGCTGGGAGCTCCATGAGGACTTTAACTAGAGCACCACCACATGGCCTTTCCAGTATGGCGTTCTCAGGGTAGTTGAACTTGTTATGTGATATAAGTTCTGACAATTAAGTTTGTGAACTCACCCTAGAAAAAGTGCTACATACTTTATGTGTTAACTTGACCAGGATACCGGATGCCCAGATATTTGGCTAAACATTATTTCTGAGTGTGTTTCTGGATGAAATTAGCATTTGAATTGGTAGACTTGAGTAAAGCAGATTGCCTTCCCCAATGTGGGTGGGCTTCATCCCATCTTTTAAGGGCCTGAATAGAACAAAGAGGCGGAGGAAGAAATAATCTGCATTCTGCCTGACTGTGGAGCTGGAACACGGATCGTCAGACCTGTCTGGGACTTACACCATTGGCTCCCCAGTTCTCAGACCTTCAGACTTGGACCAGGATTTAAACCACTGGCTTTCCTGGGCCTCCAGCTTGCAGACATGTGACTTCTCAGCCTCCCTAATTATGTGAGCTAACTCATTATAATAAATCTCTTTCTCTGTCTCCCTATTGCCTGTTAGTTCTTTCTCTAGAGAACCCTGACTAATACACCATTGAAGGAAGGGCAGCGGATATACAGTAATCCGGAATAGTCATCACATAACTATTTGGCATCAACCATGCTTGGGTTTAAACCTGGCTCTGCCATGCCCTCAGGCAAATGACTCCACCTCTCTGAACCTCCATTTCCTCTCATGTTAGTTCCTTTTTCAGAGGGTTGTGAGAGACCTTGCAAGACATACCTGTAAAGTAGTTATTCCAACCTGATCCCATCAAGCCCTCGGGAGGCATTAGCTTGGATAGTTATGACTATTGTGTTTCTTACTTGGTAGCCTTGTAACATTAATATCATTGAGGCAGCAAATTGTGAGGATTAAAAGCATGAGCTACAAAGCCAGCTTTCCTGGGTCTGAATCTTGACTCTAGTACTTACTAGCTGTGTGATCTTAGACAAGTAATTCCATTTTTCTGGTTTCCTCGTGGGCATCATAACAACATCTACTTGCAACAGTCAGAATAGGCTAGGTTACACTGTGGTAACAAATAAGCCCTAGATCTTAGTGGACTAACACCTCAAAATTTATTTCTTGTTCACAGAAACAGGCACATGTCCTCCATGCCATGGCTCCATGATCTGGCTAGCTTCCTTTGTGCGTGTGGCATCTCTGTGCTTGCATAGCTCCCAAGGTTGCCTAAGAATGGGGTGAGAACATGAAGCATCCTGCACTGGCTTTTAAATGCTACTACTGGGAAGTGACACTCCCAACATTTCCACTCACATTTTATTGGCCAAAGCAAGTCACATAACCATGCCTGAGTTTTAGGAGTCTGGAAGATGGTGGAAGACTTTAGTAATGCATACTGTACTATCTCATTGATGGTGCTGAAAATTCAATGAGACAATCCACACAAAACATTTCATTCAGCAAATATTTGTGTACCTAAGATGTGCTGGGCACTGTTCTAGGAACTGGGTGCATAGCAGTGAACAAGACATACAGAAATCCCTGCCCTTGAGGAGCTCACATTCTAATAAGGAAGAGAGACAAGAAACTAGGTAAATAAGTAAACTACTCAGTGTATTAGCAGGTGATAAATGGTAAGAGCAGTGTGGGGGTGGGATAGGGAGTGTGGGGGTCCTGAGGTAACTAGATGTGTAGATTTGAGGCACTGAGGGGCTACAGAGGGCCTTGGTAATGGAGTAGCGGCCCCCAAGTGTGGCAGGGGAGGGGCTGCTTGAACATGGCTGCATTTGCAGAGCTTCCTCCTCTGTGTCTTGTCTGTGTTCACCTGGCAACATCCAGGTCAAGCTTCTCACTTTCTTAAGAGGGAGATAAGGCAGAGAGGTGACAGGACAGAGCATTAGAGACTTGGTGCCCATGGTGAGGACTCTGACTCTTCTTATCTGAAGTGAGGTCCAGTCTAGGAAGGGCTCTGAGCCACGAGGGCCCTGACCTGACTTGGGTTCACATGCTCCCTCTGGCTGCCTGTGAGGAGCTGACTGTGAGGACAGAGATGGGAGCAGGAGACCAGGGAGGAGGTGCCTGTGAGGTCCAGGAGGCAGAGGGTGGAGGTGGGGGGCGGGGG